AAAGACTGAGAAGGAGGGAATGAGTGAGGTATACTGCATTGAAACAGATGAAGGAGAAAACTGTTTAAAAGGGATATATGATTGGGTATTATTGTCATGACCAGAGTCCAGAATGAAGGCTGAAAAGTGGAGTGGACTTGGGGAGAGGGATTGCATAACAATGAAAGAGTTTTACTTTTCAAGGAGAAGAGTGAATTGAGTGGGGAAAGGGAGGGCAGGGAGAAAAGTGTAACAATGAATGACTGGAAACCCTAAGTCTCTGTAAACTTTCACTAAAATTAATTTTTTTTAAAAAGTGTTCATAACAACCTTATTTAAAGTTGCACAAACACAAGAAAGAATCACATGTCGATCATCTAGAGATTGAATAAATAAATAGCAATATGCTCTTCCCACAGAAGACGTCTCAGGACTAAGAAGGCAGGAACCACAGATGCATGAAACAAGACAAACCAGGTTAAAGGCATTAGACATTATGCCAGGGGAAAGATGGAAGCTGCCAATGATTTCATTTTACGTGGATCCACTATCAACAGGTATGGAAGTAGCAGACGGGAAACCAAAAGATGTACTGCATTGTGCAAATCCACTGGTAAGGACCTCTTTAAAGTGCTAAAGAGCAAGTTAAAAGACTGAAGTATTTTTCATCTATTTCATAAGCATGTAAAAGTTGAACAATGAATAAGGATGACCAAAGAAGACATGGCGCCTTTGAACTATGGTGCTGGTGAAGGAGTCCTGAAAATCCTGTGGACTGTGGACAGTGCAAATGGGTCTCTTTTTGAAGAATTGCAGCCAGGGTGCTCCTTGGAAGCCAAAATGAGTATGTTGGGTATGTTATCGGGAAAGGTCAGCCATTGGACAAAGACAATATACTTTAAAAAGTAGGTCAGTGAAGGAGAGGAAGACCCTTAACAGAGTGGAAGGGTGCAACAACCGTAAGAGCAGAGGGTAAGAGTAAGGCAAGGCAAGGGTGAGTGTCCTCCTGTTGTACTGTGACTGTGAGGTCACCATGAGTTGGAGTCAACTTGATGGCACCTACCAAGCACAAGTAAGCGCATATTTGATGATTCCAGGTCCATGAGATTCTAAAACTGGCACAAGTAAAGAAGCCCTGGTGGATTGGATGTGAAGTATGGAACTTCTAACCAAAAGGTCACTTGTTCAAACCCTCCAAACACTGTTGAGGGAGGAAGATGAGGCAGTCTACATCCGTAAAGATTGTCAGCCTTGAGAATCCCATGAGCCAGTTCTCTGTCCTTCAGCATCACTAGATGGCACCTGATGGCTGGGCAAAAATAATCTACAGTGAAAAAAATCAGAACTCTGCCCAGAGAGTGGAGAGAAGACGAACTGACTGGGGAGAGAGAGGGAGAACTTTCTCTGCTGATGGAAGTGTTTTAAAGTGTACCCATTAAAAAAAAAAAAAAGAACAGTTACTATTTGGCCATTTTAATCTGCGTAAATTTTAACCATAAAAAAATCAAGTGGATCAAGTGGAAAACTAAAGCCGAAAATAACAAACAACAAAAAATAAGAATAAAAATGAAAAAAGAAATACACACACAAAATCAAGTGGGAGATGAAGTATAAGTTAGAGATAAAGATAAAACAAAATGGCAATGATGAATATTTTCAAATCCGAGTGGTGGGTAGCATAGTTATTATATGCGTCCATTTATTTGTTTTGGAGGGTTTTTTGGGGGGGCAGAAATTAGTTAAGATGGACTTATTAGAAAGTTACATCCCAAAGGGAAAGAACTTGTTCATATATTTGTAAATGTTTGAAATTTCTAATCACTGACACAAAGAGGAGCGGGGCATGCCATCAAGAGAGTGAGAAGCCCCACAGGATGAGAGGGAATATCTGTCAGTCATATACTGGATATGAATCTAGCACAGTGGCCAGAATATATAAAGAGTACTTACAACTCAAGGACAAGAAGACACATAGCCTGGTTTAAAGAAGGACAAAGAATTTTAACAGATAGGTCTCCAAAGCAGAAATACTAAAGGTTAACAAGTTCATGAAAAGACCACCATTAAGCAATCAGAGAATTGCAAATCTAAACCACAATTAGATACCACCTCACACCCACTAGGATGGCAACAATAAAAATGACAATCACAAGTGCTCGCAAGGACGTGAGGAAGTTGAAACCCTTGTGTGTGGCAGGAGGTAGGAATGTAAAAGGTGCAGCTGCTGTGGAAAACAGTTGGATGAGACCCTAAAATGTCAGACAGAATTACCACATGTCCCAGGGATTCCACTTTTAGGTATATATGCAAGAAAAATGAAAATACACACCCACGTAAAAAATTCATATATAAACCGTCATAACACTAATATTTACAATAGTTAAAATGTAAACAACCCAAATGTCCATTAGCAGACGACTATACTGGAGTCTTATTTGGCCTTCAAAAGGAATGAAGCTCTATACGGGAGCTCTGGATGGCCTACTGGCAAGAAGCTGTACTGCAATCTCAAAACTTTGAAGTTTGAATCCACCAGATGCTCTAATCTGGGGCGGTAATCTCCTGTGCCAATCAGATCTGATTGGATGGCACACAAGAAGAAAATAAACAACAACCAAAAGGAATGAAGTTCTTGTGATACCTGTTACAGTGTAGATGAACATCAAAAACAGTGTGCTCAGGGACAGTAGTGGGAACAAAAGTTACAGTGTATGAAATGTCCAGAGCAAACCCATAGAGACAGCAAACAGACCCGGAGTGCGGGCTGGTGGGAAAGGCAGGTCACTAGGAACCACATGGGTTTTTTTCAGGGCGATGAGGAGAATATTCTTAGGTTAGAAGTGATGACTGCCCAAACTTGTGGGGAAACTAAAAAAAAACACAAAAAACCCTCTCACTGAAGGTAAAAAAAAAACCCCAAAAAACAAAAGAAAAACCAAACCAACAACATCAACAACAAAAAACCTCTACAAAAGAAAAGACTGGGTTGTATATTTTCAAATGTTTCATTCTGTGGTATGTGATTTACATCGCAATTAAAAACCAAAAACAAGCTGTGTCTCTCCAACTGGCTCTTGACTCCTGCTCTTCCTTCCTAGTGGTAAGGAGATGTTCTGCCAATACGAAGGCACAGGTTCGAGTCCACCAGCTACCCCATGGGAGAAAGATGGACAATGCCCTCCTGTGTGATTCACAGCCTCTGAAAACGCGCTGGAGGGTTAGCTGTGCGTCGGTTCATACAACAGCTTCCACCACCACCACCACCTCGCTGAACTGGAATCAGAACCAAATCCTGCCTCTGAGCTTTGCACTTGCTTTCCCTTCAACTGCAAACGACTTCCCTCTCCTCTTTCCCCTAAATCACATTCCTCATTGGAACTGGAGTTCATGCGTTGTCCACACCCCCCAGATGTGCCAGCTCACCTGGGGTTCCGGCTGGAAGTGTTGGAGGCGAGCAGTGGACTCAGGAGGTCAGAGGCGTTGGTGGGCGACATCGGGCAGCCCGCAGCCGAGGTGGGCAGGACCCCCATGGTCTGCTCGCTGGGCGGGTACAGGGTGGAGCCCACAGCCACCCACAGCGACAGCGCCACGCCCACGCAGAGCCCCGAGAGCACTCCCTGGGGGCGGGGCTGGCGTCAGAGGCGGGGCTTGTCCGACAGGGTCCCCTAGTGGCAGGCCGCAGACACCCTACTCACCACAGTGTTACAGGCAGGGAGAAACATTCCCAGGATGAAGGCACCCAAGAGGGGCCCGCTGATGACGCCCATGACGGTGAAGGAGCCCTGGAAATGGGGGAGAGTGAGATTGAGGAAGTCACTGTGGGGCTGGGGTGACCCACAGGACGCCTCTGTGCCTCAGCTTCTCTAAGGGGAAAATGGTCCCCCTGTTCCTGCTTCTCTTGATTAGAGACAAAGATGCTGATTTGAGGTCTGGATGTTGCTATTATTATTATTAATAATAATAATAATAGCCATGACCAACTCTCAGGTCTCAGCTGTCTCCTCTGTTCCCCATGCTGTTCCCTTCACAAGCAGCTAATTTCCCATCAAATCCTCCAGAAGCTGATGAGGTCTCCATGCTAGCAGAGTACTCTTCCCGCCCCTCGCACCTCGCATCTCTCTCCCCCTTCCCTTCTGGCCCAAGGACTGACAACATCAACATTTGTGATTCCTAATTTTAATGAGATCCTGCCAGAGTTTGAAAGACTCACCTGAAGGACACCGCCCCCCAGCAGCGAGGACAGAGCTGCCACAGTCAGACAGGCCAAGCCGTAGATGAGAGCTGTGGGGGTGGAGTGGGGTGGTCAAAGGGGAGAAGCTGCCCCTGGCCTGGCCCCACTCATGTCCCCCAACTTACAGAGTCCCTTGGAAATGATCACAAGCTTCCGGGGTGTCAGGCTTGGCATTCGAGGCTTAATGAGGTCCTCCACTGTGACAGCAGCCATGGCATTGATGCTGGTGGACGCGGTGCTGGGGGACAGCGGGAGTGAGGTCTCCTCTCAAGACTGGCCACACCCACTCCTAGGTCCACCTGCTTGCCAAACTCCCAGTCATATGCATCATTTGGCCTGCCAGGTGGTCCCCATGCCTTCTCCCCGACTTGAGGCAACGGAGGAGGGTCACACAGTCTCCAAGAAAGAGGTCCAGAAACCCCGACCCCCAAGAACCTTAATGATCTTTTTGCTGCTGCCTTGCAGGAAAAGACCAGGCAGGGACGCCCAAGATTAGAACCAGTGAGTGAGTTCTCCTTCCAGGGCAGCAGTGAGGTACAGGAATGGGCAGGAGGTGCAATGTTTGGTTACCACTTTATTCTAAGATTTAGAAGATCAATACTTGTCATATAGTTGTTGTTAAGTGTCAAGCCGACTACCACTCATACGGACTCTATGAACAGTGCATCAGAACCCTGCCCTATCCTGTGCCATCCTGACCATCTCCGACACACTCGAGCCCACTGTCACAGTCACGGTGTCAATCTATCTTATTGAGGATCTTCCACTCCTTTGCACTATCCTTGCCTCCAAGGAGCACCCATAGTAGGTGCTCAATAAACACTGGTTGGAAAAGAAGGAAGAGAAAGAGGGGCAAGAAGGAAAGGAGGGAGGAAGTGGGGAGGAGGGGAAGAGATCACAGGAAGGAGGGAGGGAGTGGAAAGAAAGCAAAAGGAGAGAAGGGAGGCAGGTGTGGTCTTGGACAGGTGACATAGAGAAGGCCAAGCCCCCAGAGCCAGGGTCTGTGCATTCACGAGTGCCCGGCCACAGCCCACCTGAGCTGCCAGCTGTAATGGAGCAGGACAAGTGGCTAGTGGGCATGCTCAGAACTGTTTTTTCAAGAAGGGGCTCCTAAGAGACCTGGGCAAGGTTGGGAGAGGGACGGGTCAGCTCACCTGAGGGTACCACTGTAGGCACAGGCCAGGAAGAGCCCTGGGATGCCAGGCAGGTCCTCAAAGATGTCCAACACCAGCAGGGGCATGTACTGGGGGAAGTCAGGGTCAGGTTCCAGGATACCCACACCCCGAGGGTGGAGTCTTTGTCCTGAACTCAGGGAGGTCACTTCCTCGCTCCCCTAGTCTCAGTTTTTCATCTGTAAAGTGGGTCATTGGCTACCTTGACTCATCAGCCTTTAGAGTCAAAACTTTAGAGTTGTGACGGGAAACTAACTCCTAATGCACGGAACAGCATGAGGAACAGTGTAAGTAGTTGGGGCATAAAAGATGGTCATTATTATTATTAACAGCAACACTGTGTCCTCAGATCACGGTCCCTCTCTGCCTGTCCCCCCCAGTGGTCTTCTCTCTGACTCTATATCTGAGCATGCATCACCCCTGCTCACCCCCAATCAGGGTAATTCAATGGCTCCCCACTCTTCCTAGATCTTCCTCTATGCTAAGCTTTCCCCTGCCTCTGGACACTGCACACAGGCTGTTTTCTCCGCTAAGAATGCCTTTCCACCCTCCACTCCCAAGTAGAAAGGTGCATAACTGGGCAGGCTCACCTGGTCAGGGGCAGAGATGCGACCTGTGAGGAGAGGGTCACAGTCAATGTAGAGTGTGAACATGACGATGCCACAGCCTGCAGCACTGCCCACGATCAGGAAGAGGCCCAGCTGGTTGATGATCAGGGCCCTAGGGGGTTGGCGGAGTCAGCCAGAGCACGCAGGGATGCTACTTCCCAGCAGACGCCACCCCACCTTCCCAAACACTCACAGCTTGGCCTGCTTCTCTGTGCGGCAGGCCACATAGCGCTGCACCTGCGCCTGGTTCACTCCGTACATAGAGAGCCACACCAGCGTGCCCCCCACCACGAAAGTCCAGAAAGTGTAGCGGCTCCGTGGGTCAGGGTTAAAGCTGGGGAGGGAGGCAGGACAAGTCAGTCATGGCGGCCACCTCTCTGAACTCACCCTCCTGCGGGTCTCAGTGGTCAACCTGAGTTTTATGAGCTGACTTCAGGGATCATTTGAGGTGGGTTTCTAGGGATAAGGGAGCTCTGGGTGGCTTAGTGGTAAGGAATTACGCTTCCAACACAAAGTATATGGTTTGAATCCACCAGCTACTTTGAGGGAGAAAGATGTGCCATCTCTTCCCATGCAATTTACTGTCTCCAAAAATCTGCTGAGGGTCAGCTATGGCTCAGATTGCAAACTCCTCTTTTTTTTTCATAGAGTCACCGTGATATACGTTCAAAGCCATCCTCTCTGTGCCCAGCTGGGACCTCAGAAGGGCTTTATCCCCCAGTCTGGGTGGGGAACAGCTGGTGGGGTAATCATGGGACAGTTGGAGGCAAAAGGAGTTTAGAGTGGGGAGCTATGGTTCTATCAAGGAGGTCTTCCCAAGGAAAGGGCATCAGCTGACTCCCCCAGGGAACAAAGGGACATCAACTTCATGGATTCCCCTTTCACGTTGCCACTCACTCCATCAGGTTGATCCGGGAATTGTTCTGGGCGAGCTCAATCACACGCTGGGGTCCACCCACGATCATAGTACCACGGGCCAAGACCACCCAGAAACCCATTAGCATCACCAGAACTTGGAATACATCGGTCCAGACCACAGCCTTCATGCCTCCCTGCAAAACGGGGTAGAGATGAGGGGAGAAGGGCAGGTGGGGCACCTGCCTGGGGTCAACTTGTCCTGGACACCATTGGTGGCTGGGACTAATGCCCCTCTCTGCCTCAGTTTTCTCATCTGTAAAATGGAACTGCTGTTGTGTTGTTGTTAGGCGCCATCAAGTTGAGTATGACTTATCGAGGTCCTATGCTTGTTATGCATCGGAGAGTTGGACAATGACTAGGGAGGACAGGAGAATTGACGCCTTTGAGCTGTGGTGCTGGAGAAGAGTATTGAATGTACCATTGACTGCCAAGAAAACAAACAGATTCATCCTAGAGAGGGTTAAACCAGGCTGCTCCTTGGAGGCAAGGATTCTGGGGCTTCACCTGACATACTTTGGACATGTTGTAAGGAGAGACAGGTCCTTAGAGAGGGACATCATGCTGGGTAGAGTAGAAGGACAGCACAGGAGGGGAAGACCCTCTATGAGGTGGATTGATTCAGTGACTGGGGTAATCAGGATGGGTGTGTCGGAGGCAATGAGATTGGCACGGGATAGAGCACGGTTTAGGGCTGTTGTACATAGGGTTGCTATGAGTCACAAACGACTTGACAGCACATAACAATAACAACAGCAACAACATGAACAACAGATCTGAACCCTGTCCTCCCCTGTGCCATCCTCACTATCTCTGACACTCTCAAGCCCACTGCTATAGTGTCAGTCTACCTAGCTGAGAGTCTTCCTCTCCTTCACTACCCTCCACCTTCCCAAGTATGATGACCTGGGCTCAGCAACAGCACAGGGCTGCAGAGAAGTCTTTCAGATCACTTCACACAGATGAGGAAACTGAGTTCCAGCTGGGACATGGGCTTCCTCGAGTAGCAAGGAGATACAGGTTAGGGAGTTCACCCGGGGTCTCCTACCACCAGGACCCAGCAGGCCTGGAGTTCGATCCTAGGAGGTAGGGTAGGCTCCTGGGGCCACTCACCACAGTAGTGTAGACAGTGCAGATGATCCCGGTGGACAGAAGGGACGCCCAAATATCCAGTCCCGTCACTGTTGGGGAGACCCTTCCATTAGGGAGCACTGTGACCTGCCCTGGGCCCCCTCTCTCCAGGAGTTGTCCTCCTTTCTTCCCACCTCCCCAAGTCACACTTGGCCCACATGCAGCCCTTTGCTTTCTTTCCTCCTCCTATCCAGCCGCTAAGTCTTTAGGCTCCTCTGTGTCCACCTTCCTGACCCTTCCCTTCCCACTGTCTCTCAAAGTCAAACCTTGATTAAGGATGAGTGCAGGGGCGTAGATCACGATGCCGGTGTACAGCATCTGCAGGTAAAAGGTAGAATGGTAAGTTGTGGTAAGAGGAGGTCCCTGTGCAGAGGTGGCAGCGGGGCGAATGGACAGGATCTGCAGAGCGAACCTGCAAGGGGGCTATGGAGGGCAGTAGCGGGACCGAGGCTGTAAAGGACGGGGGCGGGGCTGTGTCGAAGGGGGCGTGTCCAGGCAGGCGACGGGCGGACGGTATTGGAGGGGCGTGTTTGGGTAGAGCATGTGGACGGGCCCACGGTGCAGAGGCGGGGCTAGGACGGAGAGGGCGGGCCCGGGCCAGGCTGTGGGCGTGGCCGGCGGGCGCAAGGACCACATCCCGCTACTCACTGTGGCCACGAGGTACTGGATGGTTCCGCAGAGCCGCACCGCGCGGCAGAAGCGCATCTCCAGATACTGCAAGAAGGAGCCGAGGACTCGTGGTCACCTAGACGGCCCAGCTCCGGGGCCCGCAGGCTCCCCTGAACTCTCACTCGCCGCTTTGGTCTCTGCCGCCCGGAAACCAATTGCGCTCGCCTTTCTTTGCGGGCCGTGGCCTCCGCCCGGCGCACACACTGACCTGCTCGTGCGTACAGGCGCCAACCCCGCACCTGCGTCCCCGGCTGGAGGACCGGTTACCAGTGCGCACGCACCCCCCACGTGCCCCTGCCCGCCGGGACTCCCCAGGCGCCGCTGATGTATGTTCCCTGTTGTATACATAGGCGAATGGTGCATATTAGGCGCCTACTGTTTAACTAACCATCAAGGAGCCCTGTTGGCAAAGTCAAGTTATCGGCTCCTAATCAAATGGTCGGTAGCTGTAATCTACCAGCGGATCCTCTGGAGAAAGGTGCTTAGTGGTAAGGAGGTGCGATGCCAACCCAAAAAGCAGAGGCAGTTTGAAGCCACCAATTGCTTTGTGGCTCTCAGCCTCTGAAAACTCATTTTTCTCTCATGTCACGAGGAATTTTCCCCAAAATGCGATCGGTTCTGACTCATAGCTACCCCCCATCAGATGTCCGAAGTCCAAGGCTGTAAATCTTTACGGGCAGAATTGCCCATCTTTTCCTCCGCGAGATAAAATGATGGCAGTTTGCTTCAGTAGAGATTTGTGTTGTGGTGATGTACGTGCCTTTGAGTGGGAGCCAGTTTTCAGAGGCTGTAAATCTCACAGGAGAAGACTGCCCATCTTTCTTCTCCAGAGCTGTTGGTGGATTCAAACTATATGCCTGTGTGTTTGTTGGGCAATTCCTTAGCACTAGGCCACCAGGGCTGCTGTTGAGACCTCCGTCCAGGGGAGCCCTATAGGCAGTTCTTTGCCCTATAAGGTCGCCGTGAGTGGGAATTCGATTCGACAGCAATGCATTTCGTTTCTTTTCTGGTTTTGGGAGGCTGGACAACTGGAGAAACCCAGGATTGTGAAGGGAGTGTGGAGCTCTGAGCAGTGGGTATCCTGCGAGTGTGCACCCTTACGGACACGCGGGAGAGTAGGGGACACAGGTGTGTGTCTACGCCCGCCCCCCCAGCCCCTCCAGGACTCCCGGCTCTGACCCGCCCACGTTCCCGCCCACCAGCAAGCCCCGGGCTCCTTTTCCTCCTTCCTGCCCCTGCCCTACCGCCTGGGGCTGCTTCCCGGAGTTTTCTGTCTCGAGGCAGCGGCATTAAAGTTCCCGGGAGCCGCCAGATTTCTCTAGAGCCGAGTTTGGAGGCGCCAGGCCTCCCGACTGCACGTTCCCGGCCGCGGTCCAGCCCCCGCCGCTGCCCTACCTGGTAGGTGCTGGTGAGGCCCAGGCGGTAGAAGACGGGCAGGAAGAGTGTGGTGGTGAGTAGCAGGTTGAGCAGCTGGCCCAGGCACATCCACAAGAACTTGAGGCCGTAACGGGAGGCCTCGGCCGGCACGCCCAGCACCTGCACCGCTGACATGAAACTGGCCGCCAGCGACAGGCCCACGGGCAGGGCCGACAGGCTGCGGCCGCCCGTGAAGAAGTCCTCGGCGCTGCGCTGCCCGCCGCGTGCCAGCCCAACCCCCAGCCCGATGCCCGTGGACACCAGCAGCATGAGCGCGAAGACCCCGTAGTCCCAGGCCCCGAAGGTGGCCTGTGCGCCTGCCATCGGTGCTGACCGGGGCGCCAAGCCCCTCTTGTGTCCCTGGCCGCTCTTCCTGTGCGCCCACCCGCGAGAGAAGCTAGGAAGGAACAGCCACAGCGACTCTCAAGCCTGTCACCCTCCGTTCGATGTGGGGACACCGGAGGGACCTGGCACAGGTTCCCTCGGGCAAGATTTCCCGCTCCCTGCCTGCTTCCCCGTCCTTCTCTCTGTCTAAGCGGCTGCCTCTGCCGCCTGTCTGCCGTCTCTCGGTTCACTCTGGGACAGGGTGCCCCGTCCAGGAGTCTGTCCCGCTGCCTACTGGCCAGAGCTACAGCTTAGGGTGGCCCTGGAGCTTAAAGGGGGAGTTGGCCACTGCAGGCTGGATTTATTGGCGCCCCGGGGTCAGCGCGGCTCCGCCCAGGGAGCTGGGGCCGGGGCGGGACCCGCACCCTTTCCTCCCTGGACTAGGGCAGACAAGTCCCGGCCGCCCAAGGGGCGGCATTTGAGGATGGAAGGCACCCCAGAGGCTCCCTTGCTGCATCTGGCGCTTTGCCTTTTAATATCCCCAAATGATAGGCAGGCGGAACAGGTTCTGGGAGCTGCCCTCAGGATTCACACTCAACCTTGACTCCCTGTTGTATTTGCATGCCTCCAGCGTCCGGAAGCTCATTCATTCTGCTTCAGGACTGGAGTTTGCTTTAGAATTGAACTTCCCAGAACTGACACCAGGACCCACCCTATTTCCCTGCCCTTCATATGGGGGGTATTCCCAAGCCCTGCCCTCAGGCTGAGTGGGCAGGTAACACTCAGGGTTCAAGTCCTGGCTCTGGTCCGATCCTTGGGGAAGGCTGTTCTCTCCCCTTCCTAAAAGAAGGAATGACTCCAGCGTGTCAGAGGTGATGATGAAGATGGCACAGGATAATACAGGGTTTTGCTCTGTTCACAGGGTCACTATGTTGTTAATAGGATCAGTCATTGAGGACACCTAACAAAAAAAAGGGGGGGGGAGTAAGATAGGCCCTGCCTCAGCATCTAGTAGCCTGAAGTTTGGCAGTTCGAATCCAACAGTGCTGCAGAAGTACCAAGAAAGTCTCTGAAGCAGGTCTACTCAGAAGCATGTGGAGTCCTTTGTCCTCATGAATTGGAAGTGACGTGAGGCAAACAGGTTTGATTTTGTTGTCCCAGAGGAGTACACTGGATCTGTACAACTCAGATCTGGTAGGTGTAAATAGCTCACTCCTTTCTCCCGTTCTTTATTCCTTCATGGAACAAGTATCAAGTGAGGCAGGAAAGGTCTCGATGGAGGTCATTCTGGACATCAGGGGCTCCTGACTACCCTGGAAGTGTAGTCTCTGAGTGTACCCCAGACTGTCCCCAGTACCCACAGGAGGACACTGAGGCACTGGGAGAAGACATTTCTTTGCCTGGGGTCCCTGGATTAGGTATCCAGAATTATCATCTCAGAACCCTTCTCTAGGTGACCTGTGGGGAGGGTCTCAGTTGTGGTAGGGGCTGGAGACTGAACAGTCATTGAACGGGAGAAAGGCAAAGAGGATGCTGACCTCTGAGTCGGCCTCACCTTTCCAAAGAAGCTGGAAAACCCTTCCAGACAATTTGGAGTAAAGAGAGATCTTGGCAGGAATTTCCTGCCCGGAAAGCAAATATATGCAAATTAACTATATAATGTAGTGGGGGGCAACTCTCTTTTGGGTTCAGGCTCCAGGGATCCCTGTCTCCGTCTCTTCCCTTCCGTGGGTGCCTGCTGGTTCCTGTGCACAGACAAGTGCCTACTATGGGGCCCATGCTGAGAGGAGGTAGACCTGCCTGAAAGCCTGCAGCTGAGCACACTCCGGATGGGGTGGGGGGCTTCTGGGAGTGAGCTGCTGGGGGAGGTGAGCAGAGAATAGCACCAGAGGAGCAGCCAAGCACAGAGCTGATGGGAGGGTACTCCGGGTACGGGGAGCAGCAATGCAAAGGCCCTGGTATGGGAAAAAGTTTGGGGAGTATTAGACAAGTGAACACGATCTAGAAGAAGGGGCATCGGACCACCTGGTGCCGGAAAACCCAGGAGAGCATGGAGTAGGTGAAGGGCCCGGGCAGGAAAAGAGAAATGGAGAGAAGTGGGCACATCCAGAACATTCTGGAATTATTCAGAGCGGGGGATAAGGAAAGGGCAGAGCAAATCCCACTTTGAAGGTGCAGTGGTTGCAGCCAGCCTGAGTCGAAGGGACCAGAATGGGGACGCTGGGCAGCGTCAGGGTGCTGTGTAGTAGCACACACCTGGAGACACCTGAAAGATTGAGTTCTGAGGGCTCCGCTCTCAGCCCTGCCCACACCTAACACCCTGCCAAGCCCAGGAATGGGTCCCGGAAACCCCAGCACTTGAGAAGAGGAAGAATCTGCTGGGGTGCTCCCAGATTTCCTGGGTTAATGACCAGATTCATCCTTGGACCTTGGACAGGCTGGGGGTGGGGTGGGGTGTCTAGCTTTGCAGAACTTTACCTCCATGGTCCCCAGCCAATGAGAGGGGAGTACTACAAACTCAGGGAGGCACACTAGGCAATTGGAATGCTCCTTGGGGGTTTCTTTCCATCTCTACGTCATAACCTGGCTGGTGCCAGCACTCATCAGCCAAGGCTTGCCTCAGTGGAGCTTGCTTCCCACAAGCTGAGCAGTCAAGGCTGCCCTCCTTCATCCTGGGGAGCAGAGTGAGGGAATGTCTATCCTGATGGGTGATGAGCAGACCCAGCATAGGCTCCTGCGTGGAAGATTCAAGGATGAAAGATAATGACATGAAGTCAGTGGATTAGAGGATGCCAGTGGTGGATGAGCTGGGTGGATATATAGGTAGGTCATGGGCTATATGAATAAACAGATAATGGGAAGGTGATTAGTCAGATGATGGCAAGAAACTAGCAGTGGGTGGAGCGCTTACAGGCAGACTGGGGCAAGGCTGAATAGACAGCATGGTGGGTGAAAGGACCAAAGTTTAGCTGTGGGGTTTCACTTGTTTCAAGGCTTGGCCCTGGTCCTTTGACCTGTTGGGGCAGAGCCCTTGCACCAGGTGCCATGAAGGGAAGCCCCTGGCAGAGGGTAGGGTGCAGAGGAGTCTGCACTTTTCCAGACTCCAGCTAGTCCATTCTACTGGCCTGTTGACTTGTAGTTCACCTGACTCCTCTCCATATTGGCAGGGTCACTGACTGAACACAGAAGACACTAAGGCTCAGGGCAGAGAGGGACCGATATGCACAGCCACCCGAGTCCAAGCGCACATGGTACCCTATTTCAAGGTTATGGATAAATTATTAGGTGCCATAACTTAAGTCACCCTAGGAGATCTGACCCTTGCCCTATCAGGTACCGTCCTTATCATCTCTGATACGCTTGAGCCCACTTTTCCAGTCACTGATTCAATCCATCTTGTTGAGGATCCTCCTCTCTCTCGGACCTTTCCTTCACCTTTCTCAGCACATTATCCTCTTTCAAGAACTGGCCCCTTCAGTTTTACCATCCTTGCCTCTGAGGAGCACTCTGGTTGTACCTCCTCCAAGATAGCCGTGCTTTTGACAATCCACAGGCTCTTCATGGGTTAACAGGTAAGGACTGACTCTTGGCGGCCCTATGAACCATGAATCTGGATCGTCCTATCCTGGGCCATCCTTATCATCCTCGACACACGAACACATGGTTGCCGGTCCGCCTTGTTGAGGATCTTCTCCTTTAACTGACTCTCCACCTTTCTAAACATTAATGCCTCTAAGGAACAGACTCTCGGAGCAACATGCCCCAAATACGAGATGACGTTTTGCCATCTCTGCTGCTGAGAAGCATGCTGATTTCATTTTTTCCAAGATACGTGTTTGTTCTTTTGACAATACCATAGGGTATTCAGCACGGTTCTCCAACAGAACTCAAAAGCATCAGTTCTTATGACATCCTTAGTCATTGCCCAGCTCTCAAATGTGTTATCAGGTGATTGCAAAAACCGTAACTTCAAAAGTGCAACAATGAATGAATAGAAACCCTAAGTCTCTGTAAATGTTCATTAAATTAATAAAAAGATCCACACGCAAAACAAACAGAAAAAAACCCTTAGGTGCAATTCCACAACTGAAAAAAAAAAACACCCAACAACAAAAAACCACAACTTCAATCACATGCACTGTAGTCTTTAAACTGACATCATTGCTCTTCAGGACTTTGGAAAACAAACTGTCTCAATGCTGTTAACATGGGTGTCGACTATGGATCCAAACAAGATCAAATCACTGACAATTTCAATCTTTCCCCCATCTATCATGTTGTCTATTGGTGAGGATTTCTGTTTTCTTGATGTTGAGATGTAATCTGTATACGTCTGTTGATAGAGGAGTCCCAAATAGCCTCAATATTGTTGAATGTCATCGAGTTATAGAATCGACTCATAGCTGACCTTCTAGTGAATCTTCAGAGGCAGTGAACCCCACGAGAGGGACTTGCCCATTTTCCTCCTGAAGATATGGACTCAGACCAAAAACCTGGGCGTGGACAGCCCAACTCCTTAGCGCCAGAGCGCCTTAACAGCGCAGGTGTTCCCTCCTTTATGCTCGAGACAGGCAGTTCCAAGTGGCGTCAGAAGGGCTACGCCCCACAGTTCAAACCCCACCTGCCTTGCTGCTTAGCCATGGATGCCTTATAGCACAACATGGCTGGTGGACCAGAAGTCCTCATGTCCTCTTTCCAGTAAACTGTTAGACACAGTGGCTCTGACAGGCTCAAGCACAGCGGTGGTTGTGAAGACGGGCCTAGAATTTGCGGTCTTTGTCTCTGATGTACATAAGAGCAGCAGTGAGTCAGCACTCACTGACTCAGATTACTTCATATGTAACTTCACAGAAGAGGAAAAAGGAAGTTACTCACTAGTTAATAATCTAGTCTTGGTTATTCAGAAACCAGGCCCTTTTCCTCTTAGCTGCATAGGGGCCATTCAAATGTCAGCCTAAGGGAGCTCTGGTGGCCTAGTGGCAAGAAGCTGCACTGTAATC